TGGAAAAAGTCCGTGGCTCAGTTGGTATTGAGATGGAATGTCCTGTAGTTTAGTTGGAATGTAGAGATGGAATGTCCTGTAGGCTCAGTTGGTAATGTAGAGATGGAATAGTCCTGTGAGTCTCAGTTGGTAATGTAGAGAGATGGAATAGTCCTGTGAGTCTCAGTTGGTAATGTAGAGATGGAATAGTCCTGTGAGTCTCAGTTGGTAATGTAGAGATGGAATAGTCCTGTGAGTCTCAGTTGGTAATGTAGAGATGGAATAGTCCTGTGAGTCTCAGTTGGTAATGTAGAGATGGAATAGTCCTGTCAGAGTCAGCTGGTAGTGTAGAGATGGAATAGTCCTGTCAGACACAGTTGGTAGTGTAGAGATGGAATAGTCCTGTCAGACTCAGTTGGTAGTGTAGAGATGGAATAGTCCTGTCAGACTCAGTTGGTAGTGTAGAGATGGAATAGTCCTGTGAGACTCAGTTGGTAGTGTAGAGATGGAATAGTCCCGTGAGACTCAGTTGGTAATGTAGAGATGGAATAGTCCTGTGAGACTCAGTTGGTAGTGTAGAGATGGAATAGTCCTGTCAGACTCAGTTGGTAATGTAGAGATGGAATAGTCCTGTGAGACTCAGTTGGTAATGTAGAGATGGAATAGTCCCGTGAGACTCAGTTGGTAATGTAGAGATGGAATAGTCCTGTGACACCAGTTGGTAATGTAGAGATGGAATAGTCCTGTCAGACTCAGTTGGTAGTGTAGAGATGGAATAGTCCTGTGAGACTCAGTTGGTAATGTAGAGATGGAATAGTCCTGTCAGACTCAGTTGGTAATGTAGAGATGGAATAGTCCTGTCAGACTCAGTTGGTAGTGTAGAGATGGAATAGTCCTGTGAGACTCAGTTGGTAATGTGAGATCGAGAACAGTCCTGTAAGACAGTTGGTATCGGGAGATGAATGTCGTGAGAGTCAGTTGGTAATGTAGAGTGGTAATGTAAGTGAGTATCAGTTGGTAATGGTAGAGATGGAATAGTCCTGTCAGACTCAGTGGTAGTGAGAGATGGAATAGTCCTGTCAGACACAGTTGGTAAGTGTGAGGGTGGAATAGTCCTGTCGGGCTCAGTTGGTAGTGTAGAGATGGAATAGTCCCGTAGACTCAGTTGGTAATGTAGAGATGAAAGTCCTGTGGACTCAGTTGGAGTGTTAGAGATGGAATAGTCCTGTGAGACTCAGTTGGTAATGTAGAGATGGAATAGTCCTGTCAGTCTCAGTTGGTTAATGTAGAGATGGAATAGTCCCTGGACTCAGCTGGTAATGTAGAGATGGAATAGTCCTGTCAGACACAGTTGGTAATGTAGAGATGGAATAGTCCGTCAGGGCTCAGTTGGTATGTAGAGATGGAATAGTCCTGTGAACCCAGTTGGTAATTGTAGAGATTGGAATAGTCCTGTAGACTCAGTTGGTAGTGTAGAGAGATGGAAACGTAGATCCAGTTGAGAGCTCAGTTGGTTAATGCGAGGAATGGTCTGATGTCAGTGCGTTGGTAGTGTAGAGAGGAATAGTCCCTGGAGACTCAGTGGTAGTAGAGATGGAATAGTCCTGTCAGACTCAGTTGGTAGTAGAGATGGAAAGGCTACTCAGTTGGAAGAGAGATGGAAACTGAGACTCAGTTGGTAATGTAGGAT